AGAAAGAAAGAAAGAAAGAAAGAAAGAAAGAAAGAAAGAAAGAAAGAAAGAAAGAAAGAAAGAAAGAAAGAAAGAAAGAAAACAGGAAGGTTAGAGGTAGAAGTTGCACTTGCTGTAATTCTCTGGCTGTAATGCATAGCTATTATTTTCTTCCAGTTATTCATGATTCTCTTTGCCCGTGGCTAACACTTCCACTGGGCTAGATTTATTTCCCAGGGATAATTTAGAGGAGACCCTCATTCCTAAGCTGTCAAAGCCCCTGACTATTCTTCTGTAGTCAGTCCATAGTTGCTACAATTGTCTCTTTATAGTAATCACTGCCATAAAAGTGGTGAAAATCATCCCAGAGAAATCTCTGCGTTTTAGATATACTTTCTCAGCTCCTACCAGGTAGTAACAAAACTGTAGTTTCTTGATAATCAGGATCAATTGTCCCTGCCTGAGCAGTAACTCTTCTCTTGGCCTTCTGGTTTATTGGCAGGAGGCTCCCCAAATCACCAGGCAGTGTATGTAACTTTAGGTTTGGCAAAACCTTTCTCTTTCCCTAGTAGAAGAATACTCCTCTCTTTTTTCCTCAAAGGACAAAAGGATGTCAGTACCTACAGACATGACAATAGGAAGCATAAGAGTGGGCCATTGTGGGTGGTGCCTGTGGCTCAAGGAGTAGGGCACCAGCCTCATATACTGGAGGTGGTGGGTTCAAACCTGGCCCTGGCCAAAAACTAAAAAACAAATAAACAACAACAACAACAACAAAAAAAAAAAAAAGAAAGAAAGAAAGAAAGAAAGAAAGAAAGAAAAGAAAAAAGAAAGAGTGGGCCATTGTTAGTGGGAATTAATGAGAAGATAGTCCCATTTCCACCCATTGGTGCCTGGGTCTATGTATTTTATACAATACAATATAGCATTGTCTTGAAAAATAGCCTTTCAACTTCTCAGACCGCCATGTCTAACCTGGTGCTATAGCTGAGCCTTTCAGTAGTCACTCGAAAGTTCTATCTGGCTACTAGTTTGTGGCTAATGTTTCATGTTGTAGGGTTACTGTACCCAATGGACATGTGCCCATGGTCACCCCCCCCCCACCGGACTGTAAAGTGGGTCTACTGATGCAAAGGCATGTGAGATCCTCTGATGATCATAATAATCAATCACACACTCTGAGACCTCAGTTTATGGGGCTAAGTGTAGCACTGAGGATGGGAAGATGAACTCATGCCTAGAATATGTATTCATAATAAAATATTTCTGAAACCTCCAGGGTGGAAGTGGTCCAGTGTTGTCATCTTCCTAACAAATAGGTGGTCGATGTCCTTGCAGGATGATTCCATGTTGAAGGCTCATGGACTACGGGGGACAAGATGGATATTTGGCAGCAGAAGTAGCTAAATTTGGTCTTGGTGAAAGAAAACTCATGCTTCTGGGCTATGGAGAACCTCAATTCTGTCCCCATTGACTCATCTATTCAAGGGTGTATTGTTCAAGTACTGAAATGGACAAGGACAAACATCTTCTCTCAGGGGTCACATCCTCTGTGTCCACATAGTCATTTAGAGCTTCCTCAGAAGTTGGTGCCCTCTTGGGGGAATTGACATGAAACATGATGATCAGCTAGGCTTCTACCTGGACTCACTGCTCTGTCATTTATGGTCACTCAAAATGTGACTCACCCTCCTCCTGCCACACCCCCCGCCAGGGTTCTGACCTTGGAAAAGAGCAGGAGGCTGGGCGCTCCTCAAAAATCTCACTGTTGTAACCTCCGGTCATACCCTTTCATTTTTCCTCTAGCCCAGCATTGCATCATCTTCAGTTCTTGTCACTTTCCCTTTATGAACTTTTTATCATTTTCCCTTTGATTTTGGTACTTGACCTTCTAAATCAATCTTTTTGAAATGCAGAATTTGATGATCATGGCTTTCAAGATTTTGTCATTTCTGTACCTTTGTGAAAGTCTACAAAGGAGCTCAAAGGCAAGAATTTTCCTCTTTTCTTCCTTTGTTCTGTGGTGTTCTCTCCTTTTTGATATCAAGCCTCAAGTTTTGAACTATTTTAAACAGAGAAATGGCTTCACGCTGAGAAACAAAATACATTAGAGAGTTTTTGAAAGCAGCATCCCTCTACACATGGTATTCTATTTGGTTACATCTGACATTACGTAGTAAAAAACTCTTTGTATTTCTTTTTCCTCACAGCAAGCTTGGAGGAATTGTCCCTGGATCCTTATGAAGGGAGGTGAGGCTGGGCCCCTCACAAGGTCAGGTGGAGGGGCAGGTGCACTGAGCAGCAGGGTTGAGTCCTGGGGCTGGGACTCCGGGATGAGCAGGGAGAAATGCTGGTCTCTTTTATTAAGCCTGGCTGGGAATCTTCCCCTGATCTCCTCCCTCACATTTGATCACATTTGTGACAGGGACATGAGGCCTTCCTCAGGAGGAAGATTCAGGAGGAAGGAAATTGGAAGCGCTGTCTCTTGTCACTACAGTTCAGTGTGAAGCTGTGGCCCTCCTTGACTTTCAGAGAAGGAGGACTCTGTCCCATTGGTGGTTGCCCATTTGACCCTGCTCCAGAGGAATGAAAGAAAGATTTCAACACAAAAACACTTGTTTTATTTATTTTAGAATTTTTTGTACTTGTTTTTCATTCCTTAGAGACCCCAGTTTGTCCCTGGGATCCTGTTAGATTTCAGTGCCAAGGCTGCCCCCACTTTCTCTTATAGCTTGTGCCTTTCCTCCCCCCTTCACTCCAATCTCCTTGATTTGGGGGAGGTTGCTTAAGGTATTGAGTGTTCAAATTAATGCATAATCTTGAGAAAATTCTACTACCACTTTTATGAAGTGACTAGAATAAGTAACAATCCTAAAATGATAAGAGTAACTATGAAGACTGCCAAGTGGGAAGGAAAAACTTTTGTTTGAATCAAATAATGACACCTGCTCATTTGTTCCCTTTCGTTCTTTGCTAATAGGTCCAATAAGAAAAGTTTCAAATGTGTCTGTTCTGGGTGGGAAGATAACACATCGGAATTGCTAGGCAGAGTCCCTGCTGGGTAGTGACATACTAGTTATCAGAACAATCCCGACAAAAGGGCTTTTTTTCTACCATAGGTCATAATGGTATGTTAATAATAGAGTTAGTGTTCTAAGAATTACCTTCTAAAAATATTAGCTATGCTAATTTCTTTCCCAAAAGCACAGAGAAGGTAGCCAACGCAGTGATTTGGCTCCATCTGAGTTAGGACTCAGTAAGCTGCATAATTGTCAACATAGGCACAAGGATCTTGACCAATAGCTGCTTTTCCTTACAGCTTATTTTTGCTCAGTTCTGCAAGCTCCCTGTCTTCCAGTTGCAGAGCATCAGCTGTAGCATTTGGGTACAGGCTGCAGGTGCCACAGGAGCACTGTGCCTCCACAGCACAGAGGTAGATGGCTGAGTCTCCGGTCTGGGTGGCTGTGATGTTCAGGGTGCTGAGAAGTTCTTTCTTATCTAATATGCTACTTAATCTTCCTGACTTCTCAATTCCACTTGAACGTAGTATAAACAGGAATGTAGGAGCATTCCTTTCCTGCTTGTACCACTGCAGGCTTTGAAAGTAAGCCACCTCATAACTGCAGCTGATTGTTGCACTGTCGCCCTCATGGACAGCCAGATATGGGGGGCTCTGTACCACCTTGTCCTCACTGCTCACCCCTGTGTGGAAAAAAGTAATAATTATTTTCCATCAGAACCACAGGGCTCCCAGGTAAGTCAGGCGAATTCTACATTCACCTCTTCGTTTTCTGAGGATCAAACCTCAGGCCTCCTTGGTAGCAACCCTACTCACAGCTCAGTTGAAGCCAAAAGATCACAAGTGAAGCCTGTGGATACTTCTCCATCCTTCACCTCTCAAGAGTTTTCCTGGGCAAAAAGTGGTGCATTGCCCTAAGATTTCTTTTTTCTATTTTGAACCAATGCTTTCTTCCTCTAGCGCGCGCATGCACACACAAACAGAAACAGCAATTTGCATATTGAGCCAACCATAAAAGGAGAATCATTTGACTCAAATTCACGTCCTTCCCATCCCGTCACCCACAGGACTCATTCACAATAGAACACTGCCATCTTGTGAGCTGTGCAGAGCAACTGAGAACATGTATGCACATGTTTTACCAATGACTGCAGATTCTTCTTCAATTGTCTTACTATGGGAGGACAGACTGTACCCATCACTGTGACTCAGACATTCTATATTTCTTGTATAGGATCCTTCAGGGAGCGGACATGCCTGCTCCATACTCTTCTTTCATCAACTTATTGTACCTGATGGCAGGTCCAAGCCATGACCCTGCATGGGCTGGCAAGTTCCTGAGGAATGCTAGAGTCCCCAAATGGAAATGATCTGGGTCCCACAAAAATCATGTAAGGCAGAACCACATGCTGAATGGAATATTCACTCCAGACTTCCACAAGAGAGGCAAACCTTGTTCTTTAGGTCTCCAAATGGTTGGCATTCCTTTATTAAAATAGTTTAGCTTATCTTACTCATGCAGTTGGAGTGCATTCCATTCCAGAAATGTTATCATGTAGTTTGCTTGCTGTCATAGCCTAAGAATGTCTAATTTTAGTAAAATACATATAATCCATCTAGGGAGTGGCCAAGACCAAGATGACTAGTAATTTCTTGCTTGATCTTCATGATCACTAAAAAAGGTACTTATTAGAAAGTACAGACCCCAAAGTGAAGACAAATATTTGCATTCCAGAAAAGCTGAATTATCCAGTAGAGATAAAGTGATGGATCACTTGGTTTCCGAGTCATACTTTTTGTGACAGTGGTACTATGGTCTAATTCTCCAGATCTTTAACAAGAAACAAAATCTGGAAGCATAAAGTAAGAGACTAAAAGATCTGACAATAAATCAAATTACAGTAGACTCTATTACTGCCTATCAATATAATTTGTACTATTTCCATGAAGGTTGATGACTTACCCAGGCTTTGGTTTTAAGTTTCCTTGTGCATTTCAGGTGGCAGAGAGGCACTATCTTCTTTGTGCCAGGAACTGAGGAGCACACATAATCAAATAAGGCAATCTTTACCTTCAACACTGGACCACAGATATAACAAGCTTGTTGTGAAATAATCCATAGAGCTTAACCCCTGAGAGAGTTAGGATGGCAAATGTGCCTACCTACAGCTGAATGGGAATGGGGAAAGGCAGAGGAAATAAGGCTATCCATGGTTAGTTAATAAAGTTTAACTTTAAACTCCTGGGAATAAAAGTTCCTGGGAATAAAATTGTGC